TATTGCACCCTTTTGTTTAGTTATTTATTACTAATCAGAAAGGAAATAATAATAATGGGATCACATTCATCTCAATCAAGCACATGTAAGTCCTGGAAGACTTTAAAAGACAAACAATAGTGTATTTTGTAAGGTCCTTTCCAACATCACCATCTTACTGATCCAAGAGGTAATGCTGGTTTCAACTAAGCATCCTTGTCTTGCCAAACCAGTCTTTAAAGACATATCTCTTCATGCTATTTTGTATTGAACAAAAATATACAGACAGAGGTTCCACTGGAGTAAAAATCTGTGTTAAGGTAAGCGTAAAGTATTGGACACCTCAGTGTTAAGGAGCTTACCATTCATTCATCAAAGTCAAAATAAAAATTTTCACTGATTTTACTAGAATCAGACTGGCAATAACTGATGTGGGTGCAGTGAGGAAAGGCAATAGGGAAAGCAACTAAAATTGGTTGCAATTCCTGTCAAACTTATTGAATTAAAAAAACAATTAGAAGGGTAATTTTCCAACGAGTTCTGTCCAGCTCTACTCACATAGATTACACTCTTTTTAGCAGCGAGTTAAAATTATCATTTTACTACAGAGTATTGCACTTCTTTTGCACGAAGGAAATTCTGTACAACACAGTGACTGCTTAAACAGTAGTTGTGAGAAGCCTTATTTCATCTATCACCACTAAAATAGACAATGACTTGCAAAGGTCCCTTCTAACTCTGTTCTACAGTCCAGAGAAAATGAGGCCAAAACAAATAAACTGAACTTCAGCCTCCTGTATAAATTTAGGAAGCCTGTCAAGAAGAACACACTACTTTCTCGATTCTCAGGTTCCTCCATGCTTGCAAGTGGCCAGCACAACCAACAGAGATACATTAGTCTTGGGGAAATGAAAATGGTACCATCTATGTTTTAGAATATATAGCTTGTGCTTGGTAGGCTACTCTCCAGTGAAAATCAGTGACTGATGAAAGAGAATTCACAAAAACCTGAGCTAAACTCATCAGTCTTTCTAGACAAAAGAGTCTTCAATTAAGAACTCTATTTCTTGCTCTGATTGGTTTGGGGGTACTCTATCAAGATGCCAAACCAGACTACAAGAAAAACATGCACTAGAAATAATGACTACTACAAGCATGTCTGTGTCTCAGTTCTGAGGAATTCAAAACCACAAGTACCTACTCATGAAGCTGCATTCACTGCTTAAGGTCAATAGCAAAAAATAAACATACAGAGATAAACAGAGAGAAAACTGCTGTGGAGAATGCAATTTTCTAATATTCAGACTCTTCTGATGCTAAGTCATCATGCTGTCTTTCATGGACAGAATTTCTTTCTCTTACCTTGATCATGCTGACAAGTGCCTCGCGGGTATCTGCCTCCACTTACTAACATTCAGTGTATAACCTAGTATCAGTAATATGAGAAAGACCTGGTGGGAAATGCAGTCTTCCCACCAGAAGTGCACTTTTGCTCTGTTTATACACATTCCCTATTTAAGCCTACATTTAGCAACCGAGGCAAAAATACTTCTCGATTCCCACATAAAGTGCCTCTGGGAATTGTCACTGGAAGACTACCACTTTGGATCTGTCAGAGAGAGACATTTTATTACCTGAAGGATGCTATCTTAACCTAAGGTCTAAAATATAAATGAACTGCAATTCTGATGACTTGAGATCTAGCAGAAAGACAGAATGGTGGAAAGCTTCCCAGAGATTCCACAGGGAGAAGTTAGATTTATTTAATGCAGATAAATATGACAAAAAGTTATTCATATCCCAAGAAGAAAAAAAAAGGCACTTGAAGTTAAAGGCAGAAGATTTTAGACACTGAAAATTTCACTGTTAAGATATTATGGGACAAAGCAGATTATGCCCTTTTTCAATGACTTATCTTTTGTACTGTGGGGTAAAATCCAAGGGATCTTCATAGACCCTTTAGTATTGAAGTGGAGCAGAGAATGTTTATATATGAAAGGTCAAAGCTGCATATGAAAAGACAAGTGAGAAAGTAAACAGAGGATGAATCAAGAGGTTATTTTAGAATCTGCGACCATGAAAATGTCTCAAGAGGCAGAGAAGTTCTATTCTATATTGAAACAGGGATTTGGGGGTTGCTTTAAAAAACCAAAACATTATAAAGCCATTAGATGATTCCTCAGGAGTGCTATTTTGAATGTTATTATTGTTTCTTTGAGCGAAGCAATATTCTCTGTGTTTCTTAATGGGTTACCAATTTTTCTCCATGGCAAAAGCTTCAGAAAAGTTTGGTTTCATTAGGAAGGAATTTGGGTTAAATTCCTGAAGCAGGTAGATAAATTAAGTGGAAGAAAAGGAGGCAATTAGGACAGAGGCTGTGGCTTATCCCTGCACTGAAAAGTATTTGCATGTGGCTTTGGAAAATCTTCAGAAACACTTTTATAGGCAAGAAAAATTTGGGAGCACGACATTTTTCAGTTGATGATTTTTCTGGGCTCAAGAAAGAAGGAATTATCTTGTTAAAGCTAATAAATAAACACAACTTCATAAGCAACTTATTCTCACAAATATTGAATAGGTTATTAGGGTAAAGAGGTAGTATGTACTAAAACTAAATGACTTTTATACTGCAGCAGAATATCAGAATCTTTTAGTTTGCAAAATTATATTGGAAACCTGCTTTTAAAAAATTCTAAAACCAAGAACACTTTTATCTTCCATCTTCACAGCCCAGCATTGTTTCCGTAAACCCAGGAATTTCTAGGAAATTTTGCCTGAATTACATGATGTCAAAAGCAGAATTTAGTCCAAAAGTATATGGAGCAGTAAAGATAAATCTTTTGATTGTTTTCTGAGATTTTTTTCCTATCATTAATCCCTATACTGGGACATACACAATTGTGAAGACATTAATCACAGTCTATACTGGGACATACACAATTGTGAAGCCATGAATCACAGGTTACTCTGTAGAGAACAAGTCAATAGGATGTTTAACTCTTGATTTATACACAAGCTTTAAGTATTTCACCTGTGTAATTCTGCACAGTCAGTAGCTTATTTTTTCTAATTAAATCTTTATTTCAGCTCTCGGTGGTTCTGATTTTCCTTTTACTAACAGCAAGTTTATTAATATAACTCTCATCAATCAAGTGGTGGTAGTGCCTTAATGAGATTGATGCCAGAAAAAGCTAAATCAAACCCATTGACTTTGTACAACAATTTTACCAGACTGTTCACAGCTGAACAGTGCTTACTGGATGCTTAAGAGAATACTGGGCAGGGCAGGGCATGGCAGGAATTTCTTACTGTTTAGAGACCTGTTTTGAAGGTAAAATTGGCAAGATCAAGAGGAAAAAAAAAGAAAATAATTTGCTCAGTATGTAAAATCAGGCAGTAAGTTGAACTTATAGTTAGACTAACCATCTTTACCCTTTTCATATGTATGACAAACTGAAAGTTCAACTGCATAATAACTGAAAATATTCATTACACTCAGCATTTTGTTATGGCCACCGGAGTGTACACCTTATTGACATAGTAAAAAATTTATTACTACTTTTTACCAGCTGTTTCTTCTCTCTATCATACACCAATCTGAAGCTCAGGACAGGTCATGGACTAGTCGTTTGGCCACTGTTAAACAACTTGCAGACAGGTCAAGGAAAAACTTGAGATTCTGGCTTGCCAGGTCAGCACAAAAGTTAGTTGCTTTCTACTTGTGACAAAAGTACTAGACTGCAGTACATGTAATCATTCCTGATTCTTTTCAGCACATACAAAATAAATATGAAATTTCCAAAATACATATAGATTTAACTGCTTTGATCAGATGCATAGAGTTGAGGCTGCGGTTTGAAAATGCTTGAAGGCTGACATTAAAAGCTGCTAAAGTAAACAAGTCAGTAAATTATGAAGTGTACAGAATAAGGACTAAGAGACTTTAACTTCCTCCTGGGAAAATATGTTATTACAGGTGACAGGCATAAGTGCAGCAAAGCTATGAGACACAAAACACACCTGTATCTAGTATGTGGTTTTATTTAGTCTAATTCTTTGTGATAACCAGGCTGTGTTCATCCCAGCAGACAGAAGTCTATTTATACCCTATAGAATTATTCATATACTGCATACAGTTACATAGAAGGCTGCACACTTGACTACAGAAAATTCTGCTTTGTCAGCTGTTAAAAAAAATCTGTGGAAAAAGTGTGCCTCTTACGTCTATAGGACCACAACAGTCAGAAATCTTTGTGCCAAAGGCAGAACATTTTTACTTCCACTAAGCCCAGGAGGTTTATATGATGACATTTGTTAATTCGCTGCACAAGAAGGGGAAAAGAAACTTGCTGTGATATTTGTCATACAGCAGCAGCATTCCTTCTGCAGCCTTCCCTGACAGATGTCATATTTTGCTTTCCTATGGTCACACACACAATTCATTTCACAGGCACTAAAATGCTTGTTTTAACAAAATCAGCAAAAAGTTTTAAAATAAATTAAAGCTTTCCCAGCTATGCAAATCTAAAAAGTCTGTACAAATAATTATGGTATAAATGATTTGGTATTTTCTTGAGAGCTTCATAATTATTGTGAAATAATAGGAGCAGCCTAACTATTATCCTACTCTCAAGAATGTGGTACACTCCCTTTTTTTGCAGAGAAAATTGCAAGACAAATGGCAGGGAGAACAAAAGAAGCAATGCTACCTTGTAGATAAGGGCTGATGCATTTTCTGGGACTCTTGACAGAATATCTTTATCTTCATTTGAATCTAGCAAATTGCAAGACAAATGGCAGGGAGAAAAAAAAGAAGCATATCTTTATCTTCATTTGAATCTAACAACTGTTTCAATATTCTTGTATCTCTTACTCCATGAAACATACAATAAATGATTTAATATGGTTGCAATATAAACCTTAAATTTTGTAGAACCATTGTTCCAGTTTTTAGGTGCATGATGCTTTTAAACAACACCAATAAATATGATACCAAATTAAAAAAACCGATCCACATTTACCTGATGATATGTCTATCCGGTTCTTCTTCACTTGGGTGACATTGATATGGACGCTGACTTTGCCCTCATTTATGTCAATCTCAACATTCCCCAGGTCATCTGCAAAGTTGCTGAAGACAAGGAGTCCATTTGGGTTCCAGGTTCGGAAAAGGAAACTGACCGAAAACAGATCCTGGCTTGGACGACCAGGAACCTCAAGGTAACTGGTGGCATTGAAAAAGACAGGCACTGTATGTGGCTCCACACAAGAAAAACTTAAATTTCCCTAGGTAAAACACACACAAAAAAAGCAAAAAACATAATGGTAAGATTTCACTAAAATCATAGCTACCCCTAGAGAAGTATTCCTGATTTCATTCAACCTAGAGATTACAATGCATGTTGCATATAAAAATGTGCTACTAATATTTTCAATACTATTACTATTATAATGTTGTTGCTAATGTCTCTGTTTTGTCTGGCATTGGCCCCATTATATTTTGTACTGTACATACACAATCTAAAAGGCACTCTTTGCCCTGAAGAGTTGTAGTCGAACTAAGAATAAGCTGAGACGAAAGCAATAATATTTCTAGTTCAAAGAAAAAGAAATGAATCACAGATAACCTTGGGTTTGTCAATGGTCACAAAAGAAAGCTATAACAGATCAGTAATTATGAAAATGAGCACAGCTTGCCAAATACCCTTACATCAATGTGTCAATCCATACAATACATGAGGCTGGGAAAGAAGGATGCATAGTACCTCATGAAGAGCCAGTCTCTCTGTTGTGTTTTCTACTGGATAATAATAGATAAGCTAATATTTCATTTCATGAAGGGGAAGGCTTTGGAGTAGCAGAACATGAACAAAGCCTAATATTTGCAGTCAGTAAATAATTCTGTCTGTAAAAGAAACTACAATTTTCACACTGTGAAAATATACTCTTCAGGAAATTGACAAAAATGCAGTCAATTTTATTGATTTTCAAGGCTTTAAAATGTATCTGCTAACAAGACTAGAATTAGGGATGTGAATTTTTCACTCTGGTTCTCATGTAATTTCTTACAAAAGAAATGGTAGGCTGTATTACTGTTGCTTTTCCCTAGAAATCATAAATACTTTGTATCAGTCTGTTCAGAATTGACTTTTTAATGTATGAATGCAAATATAACAAAAACATTTCCTCTGCTAAAGAATTCATATGACATAAAGCAAAGTGGATCCTGTCCTATGGTAAGCTTTTCTGATGCACTGTAGCATGTGGATATTATGTAGCAACTTGAGTTCTGTTTGTGAAGGAAGATTTTTACCTGATGAAGTATGGAAATTATTACTATGATTCATTTGTACATTCAAAAATATTAATATTTGAACAACATTTTTGGAGGTACATAGATGTGTAGAGGTGAGGTCCACCTAAGCACTGCTCAGAATCTCAATAGCAGTCAGTCATCATCTTTACTGCATAACTTTCTAAATTCTGTATTACTGACTCTCTGATATAAGCTCTTGGGTCATATTTTTGCATTCATAGTGTATAAATGCATCTGAAAGCTTATCTTTAAGGAAGATAGAGAATTTGTTAGCAGCATAGGAACTCAGTGTCTGAAAAGGTGTGGGAGGAAAAACCTAGGCAAAATTTTTTATGAAGTAATTATTTTTAATTGGAGATAGGCTAGATGATGTCAACAAATATGTTTTAGCACTTATTTTCCTATATCCAAGCCTATCACTTTTTAAAAGAGCATTACATCAGAAAACACCTTATCTGGGTCATAGCAAAACACAACCTGTGTGGAAGATTCAGCTTCTTGTATAGTATAACAATAATTAGATAAAACAAGTAGAGAAAGATTTTAAATAAATGATGAGAGAAACACCTACTTTATAAAGGCAAAAGACTTCCTCTCTAAGTTGCTTGAGTATTTTGGTGTAGGGTTTTGGTTTGGTTTTTTGTTTTGGGGATTTGGGGGGATGTTCAAAATTTACTTAGATATTTTAATTTGAAGTTTTCAGCCAACTAAGAATTAACTCAAAATAGTTACCTCATTTGTGTTAATATGAACAATTCCAAGTGTGCTAGAGAATACTTTTGGTTAAACTACAAATTTTACATGCAGAAAAAAAAAGGTGTAAAGTGTCTGAAAACCTTATGTAACCCATGGTTACCATTCTCAGTGTAATGGTAATCCTATGGAATAGAAACAAGTTCTGTTAATATTTAAGGCAGTCCTGTATAGACAGAGAACACAACAGCATTTCATATGAGCTGACATTGCATGATTCAGTCACAGAAACCAATTAAGTAGAGCTCAGAGAGCATTCTGTTAGACGTTTTATGAGGTTTTTTTGCTGCCTTGTTACTGAGAGGAACTAAAAATTTCCTCATTACAGGAAGGCTTTTATATTCAGTTGAAACTTTCCTGTCATCCTGATGCTTTAGATACTTGCATGTATAACGCTTATTAGTGTTAATGGCAGTGAATGCATTCAAATCCTTTTTCACACCATTGAATGCATTTCCCATGAACAGCCTAGCTGCATAAAAAAATTCTTGAGGAAGTAACACATAACTCTAATTTCTCTGCTAGTTAGCATTTTCCCTACTGAGGTATTCAGATTAATCTGAACTGGACTATCAATTCCCTCTATGACTGTAGTTCACAAGATGATGACTCTTTTAAGTACTGCCCTTCTTATACAGATTTCTCACTAGGTCTAGGTCAAGAGTTTGAGTTAATCTGCTGCTTGTCTCTTTAATACCCTCTGCATTCTTCAAAGAGAATGAGATCTTTTTCTGTACATTCAGAGTGACTTGCAGAATAATTCTCTGGGCAATGACATCTGGAAGTCAAATACATACTGTGCATTTATATTGAAATTGTTGGTCTTACCAGAGAATTTATTATCCTACATTGATAGAGAAAAGGTAAAAACAACTCAATTTGTGTTGCTTGAGCTTTGTATCATGATCTTCAATCTGTATGGCAAATTAAATTAATATAACTTTTAGTTAGTCACTGCCATCTCTTGTTTGCAACCTTGGTCAGGAGAAAAGCATTCTCTGTCACAGCTGTCCTTTTCTCCATGATGCTCCCTCTTGACTTACTTATGAAAACAAATCAGGCTCCACCAATAAGAACAATAACTGCTCAAAGCCATTCTTCTGTCTTGTTCCTCCCACAGAGCTGCTGTCATTCTAAATATCACAAAGATTCACAAACTTTTTTTTTTCGCTTATTCTTAGCCTCTAAATCTAAAACAAATCTGTTACTAAAGTCAGTGTTGGACTTTGTTATAAATTTTAAATATTCTTAATTTGCTTATGTTCAGCCTCATTACATTTTGTTACTCTTGCCTTTTTAGATAATATGCTCTTCAGGGCAGGGTATGCCTACTGTGATGGGTTTGTAAAGAACCTCCTATGATGGAGCTTTGATCCTCATTGGATTGCTTAAATGCCATCATCATAAACATGCTTAACAACAACAGTAGTTTCAACCAAGTCCAGTTCTCATACTAAATCAGGCTAAAAACTAGGAGAAAAAAACCTTTCTGAAAAAACCAACCCCACGAAAATCCTTGCTGATTTAGTTAGAGTAAAATCGATTTTTCTTTTGAAGAGCTGAAGCAGTTTAAGTAAATCTACTGAAAACAAAGGACACTTCTATTTTTATAGCCATTCTCAGAATCGAAATCAACAGAACCATCAACTTAAACTAGCATGACATAACATCTTGATGCAGCACTTATACTGTCAAAGCTTCCTATGAGGATTTTACTTTCATATTACAGGTAACAGAATTTTAAAAGCAAAGCAACAAACAAATAAAACCAATAAAGATGAGTTTTCAGAGTTTTTATAGGTCTGCGAGCTATGCCACACTTCTGAAAGGATTGTATAGAGCAGGATTGCACTACAG